TGCTCTAGGACGTGTTGGTTTTGCTTGGCTCGCCAGCAATTCATGCTGTGCCCACCACAGCGCTTCCATAAATGGTCAACTTGAGGCCTAGTCGCGATGTCATTGCGACACCACAAAATTAGTTGTGTGCGCTGGAGCCTGCGTTTACCCATCTGCCAAGGCACGGCTCGGCATCGAGGGGAAGGTTTAGGTGTGTTGGAAGCATGAAAGTTATCCAGTTATTTTACGAATCACCAGAATTTATCGTTTAACGCGATAGATGCGTTTCCGTCGAGCGAAAACACGTTCGGCGAAAACGGTTTCCCCATTATAAGTAACGTTAAAGGTGGGGGTTGCAGGATATGCGATGTACGCACACGCAGTAAGATGGCCGGACAAAGAACCGAGTGAGGTGTGAGGGTACGTCGCCGCTTACCCAGAATTCCCGTACTGCTGAGACGCGGAACTCAAGAAAGTAGTTCGCCTTTGACCGCTCGGAAACTGCGTGATAACGGGCAGCATTTCGCATTGTTCAAAATGTGATCCCTAAAATAGAAGAACTGTGTTATACCAAAAACTCGTGTGAAAATGCGTTAAGCGTGGACTTGGAGTGCAATATTGTGTTGAAGTTTGTGGGGTACCATTGGCCGCTCAGAGGCTCATCTGCCTTTAGTCATCATCACATTACCCACTGCTAGGTTGTGGATGCCAATTGGCCTCTTTGAGGATCATCTGCCTGAAGCTATCGTGAATACTACACCAGGTGTTCCACACCCCTAAACCATAGCCCCTTTGTCCACCTACTCATATTGCCCATCTCCCACGACGATGACATGGGGTTGGAATTTGGGAGATGAAGCTTGTCATTGAAGTGTTGTATACATTATATTGGTTGTCAATCTAATTTCTGGAAAAAGGTCTCGCCACATGTTGCAAGTCGTGTGGGTTATTTGATCATACTCTACCGCGCACTGGTCAGTGTGTGGGTTCGTCAAGGTAGGCAGCATAGACACGGGGCCATAGAAGTAATGTCCAACAATGGATTTCGCCTCGCTGCCCTCTGCTGCCCACAGCCTATGAGACAATCTGTTACATGTAGTGGTTGCCCATTCGATGTTAGTCCAGGCTTAAAAACCTGCTTAACTTCCAAGATCTGAGAATATTGTCTGCATTCTAGTGAATTGGCCAAAGGCGGTTATTTCTGTTCTTCACTGGGTAATGATAAAGGACGATGATGAAGAACTTTCAACAATTTGAAGCGTTTGTTGCATATTCTTTTACGGGAATATATTACCAGTAGTTGGCATTGTTCTTTGTGGCTGTTGCCATGGAAGTTGGCTGCGTTTCGTGTCATGGAAACGTGAAAGTGCAAAGCGTTACGCGGCAGAGAAGACCATTCAGCCCGTCGTGCTCACTCCACCGTGGATGAAAAACGGAGCCCTTGGGGGCCTACAGACCTGCTGCCAGCCTCGCTAAAAATAATATCTAAATAGGCGCGATACCAATGTGAAACCCATTCACATTTCACACGCAGAGCCGCATCGAAACGATTTGTTAAAGTGGTCTCTTATTGCAACCAAAAAAAACCTAAGTTTACGTCCACAATAGTTGTGTGGTATTGCAATATTTCTAAAGCCCTTGTTTCTACAGAACTTATTTTATCCTCTGCCATATTACCTGCAAATCATTTTCTTTGAACTGTAAGGTCTTTGAAAACTCATTATTATTATTATTATTTGCTGCCCTATTTTTACCTTATTCCTGCAATTATTTGCAGATTTTCTTGTCCTGCTCGGTGGGATTGACTTCGTATCATTCACATTTTTTCGCACGTAAGAGGAATTAATCGGCAGATTCATCCTGTTATCCACAATGATCCAATATTTTTTCTTGTGGATAAATGGAATGAATTCATGGGTAGCCCCGCTGTGATAGCAGGATCTGTGATGTCCGTTCCTCACACTGCCATTTAAACAAGGCATTCTCCTTATTTTACAAAGTTAATTTGCCTTATCGATTACATTTAAAATTACCTTTTCATACATGTGCTTTAATTATTCGCATTTACTCTACTTCCCTGCCTGCTAAGTCTTGGCGTTGTTGCTTCACCAAACAATGAGAAAACAATTTCCTTGAAATCATCCTAATGCACATCCCCACAATTTTGACATGCACCCACATTCAGGAACATTTATAAACATAAAATTGTTATTTCCGGACAATTGTTTTACAATTTCAAACAACTCGTGTGCCTTTTCTTTGATAAATTCCTTTCCTGTGTTTCAGTGCATTATTCTTTTGCTAGTTCCGCCCAAACAAAATCTGGAACCTATTCCAGCGATGCCGTTGCCCCCCTCTGCAAGTTAATCATTGTCCTCTCTTGAACGCAGTGGCAAGAAATGTACCCCATGTTATGCTTTAAGACTGACCAGGGCCATATAAAGTGTCATTACCACCTGCCTGGCCACGGTCCTCAATCATCATAGAGACGCATCCATGGATTGTGCAAGGGTGTACGTTCAGACATTTTGAGTGACTCGTGAATTATTACGCTTGATGTCCTGTTCTTCTTCATCTGTAATATTCAGTCTTCCCCTCTAAGTTGTCCCTATCAAAATAGATCATTTTTCACCATTTGTCAATGCAAATCCCCACCAGCAACTCAAACACATTTTTCACAAAGTTCCGACGTTAAAAATCAATGGTATTTAATTTAAAATGCAGCCACGGGTTCGTTAATCGTAGTATTCCAAGCAGAGAATGTTTAGCATGTATTTTCTCATCGTGGGATGCTGCAGCGAGGTAATGCTTCGAACACTGGACTTGCAATCCAGTGATCCGATGGTCAAATCTCCTGGCTTGGCAGTCAAGAAACAATGGGCACATGTCTTGAACATGTACCCCCGCTCCTCTGTCCCACACATCAGCAGTAGAAATGGTCACAGCATGGTCAATCGGGGCTCTCTAGTTCTCCCTTGAGTTAAGGTCCTTCTGACAGCAGTGGCATGACCCAGCAATTGCAGGGCTGCACATTTTATCTCTATTTCATCACGAGTCTAGAACTCATTTTAAAGCCTCAGAATTCGTTCTCCAAAACCACATTTTTTTTAAATTGTATTTTATGTTGGTGCTCTCCTAAAAATAGTGTTTCCATAATCATGGGCCACTTTAGTAACTGTAAAATCTAGACTGTTGGAACAAATACACGTGTATATGCCTCGCGAGCAGCTGCAGCCACCCCCATCTGAACCGCCCATTTTTTTTTTTGTTTCAAAAACCCGTAGCCTGCAGCCACCGAAATTTTATTGCCGGCCTTGCTGGAATAACACTGCACGTGTTATTATATGCAGATTAGCGGGAGTTCGGTGTAGTGCACATGAAGTCATTAAAGGTGGCAACCTATGGGTAAACGTTTGTTCCCCAGTGTAGGCTCGGGTATACGGGTCACTGTACCAAAGATTAATGTGCTGTTACTTGGCTCTATGTTACATTTTTCATTTGCAGGGGGAATAAACAAAGGCAGTGTGTTGCCTTTGATGTCTGTCACGTGTTAAATGTGTTCTTTTATGTTGAGTATTAATGATTCTTACATGACAGTTGTGAGCCTTTACAGTAGGGTCTGAGCAGACCTTGTATCTGCTATTAATTCAGGACTGAGAGGGTTTCTGATTTTTTTTCTCTCTGATTGAAACAGCATGGGTTTTTTGCGTTCCAACAGATATATATTTATCAATTGTTAAAACATAGCATATGGTAAAACAAATGTCTTGCGGTGCGCTGGGCAGTGTCTGAAATGTTAAGAGACAATACATTTATTTTTGCAGTCATACATAATGCAGCATTTAAGTAAGAATAACAAACAACTAAATGTATTTTTCATTTAAATCTTATTTTTATTTTTGTGTTTATTCGGCATCTGCACATGATTAATTATGGTTTTTACAAAGAACTAACCCAAACAATTTACCGCAAACATTACAAGCGCTTAGCCCTATTGCAGTACATTAGAGATGCTTACTTTGGCCCATCAACGCAGTCATTACGCTGCTGTAGACATTGCGCTAAATGTGTACACAAGGGCCCCCAGGAGCCAAGTGCTGCCACGACCTATTCCGTGCCGCATCCTTGTTGTAACAGCAGGGCCAGAATTCCGTGCCATCTCAAGAGTAGGTTCTTCTTAACCCAAGTCTGGCACAGCGGGGCTCATGCCTGTAAGCCAGCGCTGTGGAGGATAATCGCTAGTAGATCACCCGGATTTTAGGAACACCAATACCCGCTCAGCGGCAGAGTAAGCGGCTCGCAATCGGAAGTTGGCGAGTTAAAATCTTGGTTGGGGGTTGACTCAGCCCATTGTTCCCCTGGGGTTTGGTAAAATTAGTACCACTTTTATGGAAGCCAACAGTGGTCATTCTTTGTGTAGACTCAACCCCTGCCATAGCATTGTTGAATTTCCACACCACTCTTAGTGCTTAAATAGAAGATGAGCACCATCTCAATGCTCTTTTGCAAAAGATTACTGACTTATAAATCCTCTCAACTGTGAGGTTTCCAGTAAATGGCAGTACAGCAAGTAGGTTTGAGTCCATCTGTGTGGACCTGTTGAGTGTTATGTTTTTGTATGTGCGGTGGATTTTTCCCCATGTGAAAAACACTAATTTAATAGTACTTTTCGTGAAACATCACAATGCAGAACATTCCTGAAAAAGGGTCTTCGGGCTCGGAATGTCCTGGATAAATACAATATATTATAAACACATCCAATAAAACCACCAATCACGTTCATACAGATTCATTAAAGCCACGGCATCTCCAAAATAACAAACTCATCATCGCATTTGTCAAGTGAGAATGGCTGGAACATGCGGTCATTTATTACGATCCACGAATCGAAATGCTTGGCATGGCCACCATTCTTGATGTCAACACATAGCTTTGTTTTCAAGCTTCAAGAGGTGATTTGAATAGCGCGCGTTTCTCCTCCCCCCCCCCCTTCACCGCCACCACTGTGTGCGGCGCTGCAGATTGAGAACCTACAGGAACAGCTGAGGGACAAAGAGAAGCAAGTTGGCAGCCTCAAGGACCGAATCAAGTCCCTGCAGGCCGACTCGAGCAACACGGACACAGCCCTGGCCACACTCGAGGAGGCGCTCTCTGAAAAGGTTTGCACTGCCAGATCTTCGAACCCCCACGGGCAAACCGACGCAATTTAGGGCTCTGGTCAACCCTTATTTTTTGCCGTGTCCCTAAAGTAAATATATTATTTGGGCAAATGTTCGCTTCTTCCTTTGTTCTTTTGGTGAAGTCACGTAGAAGGGAAATAATAAAGTAATAAAAGCAAAACATGAAAGCATATTTATTTTATTATTTTTATTTTGGTTCTTTCGGTAAAGTAACGTAGAAGATAAATAATAAAATAATACAAATACACCGTTATAAAATAATAATTTTTATTTTTTTTATTATGTTGTATTTTTATTATTTTATTATTTCCCTTCTACGTGACTTTACCGAAAGAACCAAGAAGATGAATCCCTGCAGTCACAAAAGCTTTAAATCGAAATGTTCGCTTGTTGAGACTGGTTCATCGCTTTCTGCTTTGGTAAACCGTTATCCCGGTGTGCCGTTGGTATTTGATGGATATTTGTTTTTTTTGGTGCGTACATATTTTCAACAACAATGAAAAATTAGTAAAGGAATACCCATTTATCAGATTACAGAAGCATGCATATATTCCAGTGTTGTCCAGCTATGATTGCGGAAAGCAAGGGAAGGTAGCAAAGAGTAAGAAAAAGCGTGAAGAATTGATGAGAATAAAGAAAGGGGGTAAAGGAAAGTTGGAGGAATAGTTTCAGGATGAGATCACAGGATGGGAAAGGAGTCGGATCAGAACTGAATGAAAGGAGTACCACTTATACCTATATACCATTAATGATCCCTGCGATCGAGCCCCCAAGTGTTCCATAGTGAATATTTCTTGCTTCAACTTTTCCAGTGTTTATAAATGTGATTAGCTCATGAGTATTTCATTGCCTCGGCTGCAGGAATCTAAAATTCACGTTTTATTTTCGGTGATTGTGATATTCTTCCGTTAATTTACCACCAAATTTCGTGTTTGACCCCTGTAAGGATATGAAGAACTGAATTGAACCCTTTGGACGGGATTTGAACTCTGGAGCATACTAATCTGGAGCTTTACTGTTCTACCAGTGGCGCTATGCCCATCAGCATTTTTTCCACTGAAAATTGAGGGCTAGCTCTGCATGTGCGTGCCCCTGTTCTTTGGATTAAATGTGATTTTTGTTAAATGTGTCATTGTTAATACAAACAGATGGTGCACAATGTATTGCTCGACACTGCAACGTGCGTGGAAGTAGGTCTGGACATGTGGTCTCTATGCTGTCACTGCTGTTGTCAAGTGGCAACCACCCCCCCCCCCCTCCCCCCCCCCCCCCCCCCTCAAACACTTGCACTGATTTAAAAAAATTATGCCACGAAGATTTATATTTCTTCCCGTAGGTTAAGTCCATTTTTGCTTTGCTTCCCTTTGGCTCTGTGGTCTAAGGCTAAGTTTGGGCCAAGAGGCACCTGGGATTGCTGTGATAAGCCTGCACATATGTAACCGTGAAGATGGAAGTATTTTTTGCGGTTGAATCGTTAAATGATTTCACTTGTGCGCAAACCTCAAACAAGTGAAACTTTGTTGCCGTCTTGGCCACTTCCCCCCCCCCCCCCCCCGCTCTTTCACGGTAAGCCCATTGCACTTGTTACTGGAACCGAGAGCTCAGCAGGCTAGACGGAAACACACGTAGGCAAAAGCGCACGTTCAAGATTTCCAATCTTGAATTGACCCTTTGGACGGGATTTTAACTCTGGTAGCATAATAATCTGGAGCCTTACTGTTCTACCAGATTGCCGATCTTGAACGTTCAGCCAATCTTGAATGTTTAGTCTGAGTAAGCTATGAAGAGCACTCAAACCCCAGACAGACGTGTCGGACGCCCCGTCACGAATATACTTGCTCATCAATGCATTCTAATTTTAATAATCACATTTGCCATGTGCGCCTGGTAGATCAGTAGGATTAATTCTCCGAGCCACGTGCCTGTTCTCCAATGTTCTCGCGGGCTGTTGGGCTTGGCTTTGCCCTTAGCCCATCATTTACTATGGCACGGCTCAGCCATTGGCATTTGACAGCACGATCATTGTAACGTTGACCTCTTGAATTCACCACCGTATTCTGTTCTTTTTGATTATCTTTCATTATGCTGATTTTCAATGCTGCCCACGGTATTTGTTCAATGTGGTTTCGGTGCCTTTTCCAATATTTTTTCACCCGATGGGAATACTTTTCTACTTTCTCAACTGCTGTTTTTTCATCACTGTGTTCCAGTAACCTTGCTTATTAGAAAAAACTTTCCACCGCTGATTTTAGCTACTTGGTCACTTGTCCTCACACACACACTTGAGCGTGGCTTATGTCGGCCGGTGATGAACAAAAGCATAATTCCTAAGGACACCTGAGGCTCTGGAATAGTTTGTCCCGTAGAACAGCTTGTGTATTTTCATGGAGAAAGGCCATTTCAATGACCCCTCCTCCATTTGTGTCTTTGCCGAGAAGGAGAGGATAATCGAGCGTCTGAAGGAGCAGCGAGAACGTGATGACCGGGAGCGACAGGAGGAAGTGGAGGCCTACAAGAAGGAGAACAAGGACCTCAAAGAGAAGGTCAACACTGTCCAGGCGGAGCTCTCTGAAAAGGAGGTAAACCCCCGTCTTTCCATTTCGCCCAGTACTCTGTGTCGCCAGTCATTTGGATGTACTGATCATCTGTCCATATTTGCTTCAAATGACATTCGGAGTAGCTTTGCGCAGTGGCAGTATCGTAGCCAATGAGGTTTATCCAAGGGCATGATTATTGCTCATTGAAAATGTTTTTCCAATATCCCCACCACAGCGACTGGAAATATAGTAGCTTTCAGCAATTTGGCAAGCTCCTATAGGAGCTAAAAAAAAAAACATTGAGAGACGTAGAGACATACTTTAAACTGTTAAGAAAAGTAAGTAGGCTTGGACAAGAACACGCCTCCAGAAGGAACAATGGCCAATGGTCAAGAATAGTAACAGTGGCAGCCAGGGAATGAAACGCATTTGAGAAGATGTCCGCCGAGCAGATGGAGCAATGGAACCAGCTCTTGCGCATGCGCTCAGTGGGTTCTTACATCACAGAAGCATGAGATGACCTATGGAGGGGACCTTCATCGAAAGTGGACCAATTTTGGTTAAACAACATAAACTTAAAACGTGTTCTGCCTAATACAGGCACCTCATTGCCCTGGAGGTGTCCATCTCATGCAAATGATAGCTCTATCTGAATGATCAACCATCTCAGCTTCAATGTAACTGCATTATAGGCATTCTCTGCTGCACACACAGCACTGACATATGCCTGTTTTCGCGTATATTTATTTAATCACCTTGTAGTTCAGGGGCGACGGGTGGTGGCGGTGGGGGGGGTCCAAATGTGCAGCCCAGACAGTCTCATATGATACCCTCGTGCGTGTAATTTTTAATTCAGTGGTTTCACATGATTTAGCAGATGTTTGCATGGTGGCATAGCCTATGGAGCACTACTCCAAGAATGTGTAAGATTAGGAGGTTCACTGCAAGGGTTATACGGCTCATTGTGGTATCTTTACAGGGTTGATTAATGTAATAAATGCAGCTTACACTTCAGGTTCACGCCATGAGCAATTAAACGGAGTGTTTTAACACACTTGTTGGTTTCTACATTAAAAACGTATCAATTTCTAGATTTGAAGTTTTCGTGACTGCAAGGATTCATACTCTTGGTTTTTTCGGTAAAGTCACGTCTGTAAAAAGTTCAAATAAATTAAATCACGACGTTTCGGAGGCAACACAAGCTTCCGTCTTCAGGTTGAACCGTCACAGTAATTGATACAGCAATTTTGCTGTGACGGTTCCACCTGAAGACGGAAGCTTGTGCTGCCTCCGAAACGTCGTGATTTAATTTATTTAAATTTTTTACCTACGTGACTTTACCGAAAAAAACGAGTAAAAAAGTATCTCTCTACAATATTTGTTGTACGTGGAAGTTAACAATGCCTCTGTACGTGCAATGTCCTTTCTCAAAGACACCGGCTGTCATGGGTGGCTTTCCATCCATCAAACTCTGCGTGTGATATTACTCAAGAACTATGCATTGGACACTCCCATTTGAATCCCAATTGTTCAAATTGTTTATGTGCTTAATTCACTATCTTCCCCGGCTTTTTTGTACGAATCATTTTCCCAGTTGTAACATTATGTTCAGTCTCTTGTTTTCGCATGACTTGTCCTAGAAATCTAACTTGCCTGTAGCTAATTATTATTTTAAAAAAATAGTATCTGCTATATGTAATACATTTATGTTCGTCATCTTGTCTGTCCTTGACATATTAACAAAACTATTATTGTAAGAAAAATTACTTCGAACTTTATTGTAAGTGTGATATATGAAGGCTTAAGGAATATTCGGTCATTTTCTCATAATATAAAGGCCATTACTCCGCTTTACTAATGCCCACTTCACAAAAATGTCCAATATTAAGGTAAATACATTATTGTAATATGCATGCGCTTAGGATATACTTTTGAGCATTTAAGCATTTACAGAGGTCATTCCTCCACAGTCAACTAAAGATGTGAAAAATGTGGATTTAAAAATATACACATTTACATGAGCATTTATGCAGAGCCCACTTGATATGGCCCTCAAATTATGTTGTAAAATCATTGCGCAATTGTTGGCGTCATGCTAATTTTCTCCAACCTTTCAAGAGCCCACATTTTTTAAGCAGCGGGAACAGAAATAAAATAATACCATAGGTCATAGGTTACAACACTTTCCCACGCGTCTTCCAGAAGAGTTTTCCCGTCTCTCAAAGGCACTAGGAATAACACCCAAGGTTGGAGTTGCGAGTTTAATTGCACTGCCCCTTGAGTGTGCGCACTGTGCATGGCGCGTGTGCCTGTGTGTTCACGTGCAATCACGATCCTGTCAAAATGTGCACGTGTTCGAACGTAATTCCTTTGCCCTGACATGCCAAAGTGCCTGGCACCGTGTGCCACGAGGCCACGTCCCCATGTCTGTCACTGGCTCTGTCTGACAAGAAGCCCCAAGCGTACGTACGGCCGCTTTTGGTGAGGGGCGATCGCGGCAAGAGAATAGTAAGTGTGCTTGCGCAGTGCACATTGAGACTAGGGGGGTGGCATGATTGGTGGATGGATGAAACTGGGTGACGGAATGTTTGCCAAAGGAGGAAAATGCGCCAGAGAAGTGCTTTCTGCAAGAAATGCGGTTCAGAGGTCAGTTCGTACGGCGCTTTGTGGCACTGCAGGACTGTAAGAGATGGCGACAGCGTGGGGTAGCCTTCATCCATCAGTGGCTAGAACTCTGCCGATGAGAATGATGATAAAATCATGATGCTGATGAATCATGGCATTAAAAAAATTGACAATTTACCTGCGAATTACTGAATTTGGAAGCCACATAATATCGTCATGCCTGCTGGCAGACTTAATGTCTACTTGCTGGCTGGTGCTGCCTTCAGCTGGTGCTGCGCAGACAGCTGCCGCAGGGGGATCCCCTGCCGAAGGACTCCTTGAGATGTGTACTGCATGAGAAGCACGAGATAAGTATAAAGTGATGATGGCGATTGATGGTAATGAGAGCCATACGATTCTCCCCGCAGTCGTCTCTGCTGGACCTCAAGGAGCATGCCTCCTCTCTCGCCTCGGCTGGGCTCAAGAAGGACTCTAAGCTCAAGTCTCTGGAGATCACATTGGAGCAGAGGACAGAGGAATGCAGCAAACTGGAGTCGCATCTCCGGAAGGTGGGAAGTGAAATGCACACATGCACAGTTGTTGCTGAAGAGTGGGGACAGTTTCTTAGCTTTCCTGATAATCATGCTTATATGGATGGATGGATGATGCTCCTTTCAACATGGATTTTTTAAAATCTAACTTCAAAACTGACTTCCCATTTCGTGTTGTCCGACGTTTCATTCCCCGCGTGTGGAAATTAATTTATATGACCACTGCGGAGGTTTGCGCGATTGTGCTGCTGTTTAGCTCGTCCATGTTTAAACAAAAATATTTAATTATATTTCAGTCGGTGCCCGGTGCAAAGCACGAACAGTGACATAGGGGAGAGAGCACAGAAACTCTGTGGACAAAAATCCCAAACTCTGTTCTCTAGTACTTTTAGGAGGGAGGAGATTTGGCTCACTGAGGCAGACTCGACAAGTAAGCTCCCGATGCTGTTGTAAGAGAAAGCTCTAGAGAGCCAGCCTAGCAGTTTATATTGGCCTATTCCTCCACCCTGGTGTCTTTGAAAAGGTGGCAGTACACATACTTTGCCCCACGGCACACGACCTGCCGATGGACTAACCGTGGTGGACTCATTTATACTGCTGGGTTGAAAAAGACTAGGGGATTTTAGAAAATTGCACCATTATTTCAACTGCCACGCCGAATGTAGAATCGAATGCAGTATGATTTTGAGAGAGCCTTGAGACAGTGAAAGAATTGTACTTACACGGCGCTTTGTTTTAATTGTTTTTTACCGAATCTTGCCAAGACTAAGTTGTCTCGTAAGCTGTTTATGATTCTGAGAGAGCGTTCGTATGTAGACTCCACCAGCCATAGAAAATAAAAATGGCTCCGTTGCATATATGCTTTAATGCTTGGATGTAACATATTTCCTTGTGGAAAGTAACAGATGTAAGTTTTATTTTTATGCATCGGTAATGCATGATAAATAAACCGACGCATTACTGAAGGCCTCAGCCGCAGTCGTGATGCTTTTAAGGTGATTTATTTTTAAGGCTTAGAATGTCTAAGCGTGCATGTAGAGAGATGGCTAACATTTGCGTGCCGGATGACATTTTTAATAAATGGCCAAATGGTTATTTGAACCCTCCCTTGTTGGATTTCACGGTGGAGAAATTGTAATGAGTGAGTTAACGTTGATTATGGAGTTAACGTTTATTTGATTATTTGTTCATAAATGGGGGTTTAGCGAAAAGTTAAATTTGATTTTCTTATAAGAGGCAATTTGACAAAATGGCTTCCCCAATGCAAGTCAAGGTGGGTAATGCTCCATGGCGTTTGCCAAAACAACTCGGAGCCTTGGCCGTCCGGGAATTAAAATTCACTGTTTATCAGTGTACTGTACGTCTATGCTCCCATCTCTGCTACCTGCCCTCACAAACCCACACGTGGTCACGTAACCCCAGAGAATATGCACACAGCATTGGGAAAGCCCTCGTCCAGCAGTAGATTGACAAAGGGCTGTGCATGGACGTGTGTAAAAGTAGCAAATGGGTGAGGTGAAACAGTTCCAAACAGGTCACCTCTCCCCAGCATTTCGGCAAAGTCATGAAACTATTTTAGTTTTTTTTATTATTCCTGCTCGAGGCTCCATGAATGGCACAAACCTATAGCTATACGAATTAAATAGTCGAATCCGTACGCAGGCACAAGTTGACGCGTGTGTCTTGAGCTTAAGATTAATATTAATCGATGAATCCACGCACCGTGCCTTCAAGAGCTTGCATCTTTCCAGACAATGGATTATGGTACTGAACTAATTTCTAACTCTATAACGCGGTTGGAATTCGTCTTGCGCAAATGGATTGATCTTAAAAAACAGAGTTAGTCTGTTTCTGTGAACGTTGGCTTAAGTGTATAATTACATTGAAATTGTAGTCCACGTCACCTTTTTTTTTTAATGTTCCTGCTGAGGATGCAGTGTTTGTGCTAAATTGTGTGTGCGTGCTTATTGCGTGTGCACATGTATGATTGCACGGGCCACTAAACCCTGAGTGCCTTTAACATGACAGAATTGAAATATGGTCAAATGCAGCATCTCTAATTGCTTCCAGACTAAATGTAACCAGACCTCGCACATTAGTCAAAATGCTGGTATTGCATTCGGCAGCTTTAGCGGATGGTTCTCTAGGAGAACGCAGGCTAAACATTCCGACTTCTCACAGAACCATGAACAATAGTTGTTACTATTTACTGGTCTCTTCGAATATACATTATACGCAATTTTGAGTAGTTGCATGTGTGGCCTTACCACCCACATTTGACCTCTACTTGATACGGGTTGGCATTGCCTGATTATTTACAGGAGGGTAGACTACAAGTAAAAATGGTAGTTTTCTTCTACGAGTGGTTTGTGCGAGATGGCAGAAACAGGAATGCATAATTTTAGACGTGTGTGTGTTTTATACTCAGTTCGATTCCTCGCCCCGAGCAATATCCGCTGGCCTCCCACATCTTTTCACTCATAATCGACACTGAAGGCGAGCATTCATCCAGCAGTGGATTAATATAGGGCTGTAAATAAAGATTTTAAAATCGTATTCGACACGGGCAAGATCACGCTGGGTTCCCCCTCTCACTTCTGAGAACAATTAAATGAAAACGAGCACCACAATACATTTATTTTTTGGCATGCAATACTTTGCGTGTCAGGAAAACACGCTGGAAACAATTACAAAATGGCCTGTTTGTGTTTATAATTGGGGCACAGATAATGACTTGATAATGTCTTTGTGGTTGCTTGATGAACACGTGGGAGTTTCTTTTTTTAAACCCTTTCCTTGTATTGAAAGTCTGCAACAAAAAAAAGAGGTGGTGAGCCATACCCCCATTACATTAATGTTGTTCTGTGTGTGTGCAATGCACTCCAACAGAAACAGAGTGCATTTCCAGAAATTTGCTTGGATTGTTCACACTTTGTGAGTGCTGTCGCATTGCAGAGGCATCAGAATGTGTTTCAAGAACTCGTTTTTTGTTTCCTTCGCGCTTTTCACTTTTCATCGCTGGAAATGTACTTTTAATGACACTCGTGCAATTGCACCGTTCCGACCATACTTTTGTTCGTTCATGTGTGGGGATACGTACACATCGGCAAATATATCCAACTTTTTGTTCAGACAAAAGTGCATATTGCTGGTCACAAGCGTGTACAATTTGTTTTTTTTGTATAGTTACTTGACTGGAGTTTTGTTTGGCTTTCTGAAGCCCCACGATGACAGAGTAACGTAAATGTTTCGTCGAGTTAAGCGTGCCAGAGTTTTATTTCATTACATTATTTTCTAATTGTTTAGTCTTTTTTTTGGCAGATATCTCGATGCGTATTTTTTTTTATCCGAGGTAATTTATAAAATTTGGAAAGAAGTGAAATTTAACATCATTTTGTAAAGATCTATTTACATTTCTTGAAATGTATTAAAAAAAGTTTTAATCCCTATAGCCCGCTTAAAATATCAGGGCAGGCAGGCACGAATGTGCAGACTGTTCAAGCTTGCTTCATAGAGATCACTCCTCATTTTTAAAGAGGTCAGTGACAAAAGTGTTTATCTCATCGTTGCCAAAACACATTCCTGCGGAGGGAGCTGGTAGGAACGTTAGGTTGCTCGGTCAATGGCCAGGGGCAACGGCGGCGTGGTGTATTCCGCAAATATGCCCGACTATGAGGGCGGGCACAAGCCGGCGTGAGTAGGTTAAACGTTGAGTTTTATAAGGGCACCACGTGGTGACCAGCCCCTCCCCCACCCCTCCCACCCCCACCCAGCCAAACCCTCCCCACCCAGCCACTCCCCACCCAGCCCCTCCCCACCCAGCCCTTCTCCACCTTCCCCTCCCCACCCAGCCCCTCCCTCCCCACCCAGCCCCTCCCTGCATGACGGACGGACATAATAATCCCCTGTGGGCTGGTGTAACCAGGAGGTTCCTACCAGTGAAACTCAAGTGTTTTACTCCACTAACCTCATTTTTATTTCTATATTTGTAATACCTGCAGTAATGTGCCTACATTTTTTTTTTATGTGTACCACCTGCTGTGAAATATTCATCATAAACACACGATCATTAACAAAGAAAATGGAATGTAAATTTTAAAAGTGCGCAAAGAAGCGTGGAGAGATGCGTGGCTCGGAATTACATTGAGAGACAGAAAGAGAATCATGTGGATCAGAGGGACCCCCTCTGCAGGTTCAATACACGGTTATAACTGTTAAGAAAGTGAGTCTGCCTGGGCAGAATGCGTCGATAGAAGAGATGGTGGCCGACGGTGAAGGATAATAAGAGATGGAACCACACGTCTTGAGAGGACATCAACTAAGGAGATGAATCGATGACATTAACTGAAATGCAGGTTCTTGGTGGATTATTGCCTTGCAGGATCATGAGATAGCGATGACTTGAGGAGGCCTTCATCCAGCAGTGGATTGATCATGGGAGATGACAATGAGGATGTGAATACTGTTCAGAGGCATTAATTGATTGCGAAAACTCCTGTGAATGTGAATTTTCATGCAGTTTCATTGCACACCTTGGTTCCAGGTGACGTGAAGTGATCTCTGTGGGCTAGTCCTAATGGCATCCTCGTGTTCCAAGCGCTGCTTGTCTGCCAGTTTATCAAGTGGACAAAGTTTGTTAAACCCCTTTTTTCACACCAATTGGTACCTGCTCTGAATGTGAGTGGAGAAGATTGGGCGTAGAGGTAAGTTGAACCACGGTGGGAATGGCTTTGAGAGGCACTGACATGGACTAAAGGGAGCCTAATTACAGCGTACACATACTGATAACACAGGTTGCATTGCAGGAAGTAATTGGAGGTGATTGGGCAGCAAGACAGTTTAAGATGCCATCGTAAATGAAAATTGCTGCCCTTTTTAAATTCCTCCAGTAATATGTTTGTTCAGGTGTGTGGGAATTTTATCTTGAAAACCCAATTTTCATGTCCAGTTTATTGCATATAAGCGAGCGTTTTGTGCATTTGTCCTATTTTTTTATCGTGAGACCAAGCTGACAAAAAAACATTATTCCCAATTAATTGGGAATTGCGTTATTTTTGTCCATTGTTTATTTCCTTTTTTTTTCTAACTCAAAATCGTTTGGCGAAAAAAAGGATCTATTTGTAGTTTGTTTGAGGGATTATTTTTTTCACGCTTAGTTTTTTAGTCATGCTGCTGATTTTAAACACTGGTGTTCTGACGGTTATCCGCTATGGTGATGCGTGACGGATTCATGCTGTGGGTAGCAAGCTGCCAGCCAAGTGTCATGTGCCATGAAAACATTTCCAAAAATCAAAACAACAACAACACTGTCAGCTCTTTTACTCCAGTCATTCAAGTGTCAACATTGTCTCTTCACTAGAAAACTACACAAGGCCTTAGTGGATTGGACAAATGGGCTAGGTGTTAACAAACAACAAAATGCACTCTCTTTGTGGGAAAACGGTGAAGATGGATAAATACCACAACACTTCTCTGTTTGTAATCCCTTAAATGTTTTACTTACTTTCTCTGTCAAATAAATCACCGTGTAACTTTGCAAATGGATGCTGCCTTTGTCCGCCCCGCAATGTACGTGCGTACACACGCCACAGTTGAGCGGCAAGCCGTCTGCGGTAGATCAAGTTCGCGTCGTCCCACCTCTTCCAACGTGTCAGGCCAGTGTGGGCAAGTCCACTAGAGCTCACTCTCGTGGATATCCTTCCACCAGTGCTGACACGGGCAAGAAATTTGCAGGGCTTAACCATAACCTTTTCACTATGCAAGATGAATTGCTATTTTGGTAGTGTTTCTATACCTGACGGTATGTATGCGTCCTCCGTGTGCTCGTATGACATGCATGCACATTGGTTGATCAGAATCTCTGTTTTCGGAGCACAGACTACATTGCTTTACCATATGGTACATACTCTTAGGTTTTTTCGGTAAAGTCACGTAGGTAAAAAATAAAATTAAAAGTTAATAAAAGTAATAATGGAGATAAAATAAAATAATAAATCACGACGTTTCGGAGGCAACACAAGTCTCCGTCATCAGGTGGGACCGTCACAGCTAAAATTACTGCATCAAGTGAGGAAAATTCCAAAATTCCAAAAATTTTACCTATGTAACTTTACCGAAAAAACCTAAGAGTATGAATCCTTGCAGTCAGGAAAGCTTCAAATCTAGAAATATGGTACACAGTTTGGGTTGCATTGCCGCAGTCGCACTGTAGCTTGTCTTTAATGTTCCATTTACGAAGGAGATGTGTGCAGCAACCTGTTGATGTCCTGATGCCGTTGATGGTTCCACCTAGTGTCTTCGAAGAGGAACGTCAAAGCCAGGAGGAGCGACGTTTTTGTTATGGATGTTTGGACGTTGTTAATTCGAATTCTTCTCGGTTGAAACAGCCATCGCTCTTGCTTGCACATTTCTTAAATTGCTCATTGACATAGCGACTGCTGGCGCTGTGGTTCCTCGCCATCACAGTCCCAGGTGGCGGAGGAGGAGGCACGGACGAGCCCCGAGCTCACCGACCGGATCCGACAGCTCGAGAAGGAATTATCCCAGAACCGGTCAGGAGGTGGCCAAGTCGCAGGCAGAGGTGGACCGCCTCCTCGAGATCCTCAAGGAGGTGGAGAACGAGAAGCACGACAAGGACAAGAAGATTGCCGAGCTAGAGAAGTGAGTTTTCCCGATTTCGAACTGTTGGGTGTCATCGCGTAGAAATGACTCGACGCGACATCGCTTCATCGTCATTAATGCAGCTGCTTAACAAGAGGTGGCCAGGTAGCTTTGGGGACTGTGCAATGGGCTGCCACTGTTAAGATCCTGGATTTTAATCTTGGCGGCTAACTGAGAATGAACTGCATTCTCAAGTGTAGAGAGGTGATGGTCTCAGCCCGGTCGATCATCCATGACCGTACAATAAAGAGGCACTTTATTTTTTTAGTAATTTGGCTAAATTCATTGCTCTTTGAATTCAAATTTATTTTATACGTACATTGGGTGGACTGCCATGAATTGAACATTAAAACAACAACAACAATGCTTTTACTTGAGTCGTTCAAGTGGCAACATTTTCACTTCACCTTGAAAGCTTCACGCACCCCTATTATGCGGTAAAATGACATCACTTGAAGGAATCTCAGACGAGTTTCTGTGGTAACTTCTTCCATGGTCCACGGACCATTCTCTAACACAGAATGATGCACTGCTGTCCGAGAGTTCTGAATTGGGAGGCTTTGTATCATGACGTGTTGCCAAGAGCACAATCGGAATAAAATTTAGACAAAATTGAATAAAGTATTAGAAATGTAGAGTAGACCAAAGGTTGTTTGAATTACCCTCCAGGGTAGAGAGCTTCCTTAGTATTTTCCCCTTTGTCTGAGCAATACAAATTTCCCCGTGTAAATGTTATTTTATCAGGTCTTTTCTATATTTTAGAGAAAATACTTGAACACTCACAAGTAATGTTTGAATAAGAAAGCTTTTTTTACTGTTTTTTTTTTACGTCTGTAATGTAATAGGGTTTACGCCATGGCCTGAACTCGGTGATGACATTGCGGTTTAAGTCTACGGGTTTACTTTGATCACCACACCCAACATACAGAGCAGTGCAAGCTTTGCTCATTTCCATGTGGTGTGTTAATTTCCATTGTGAGCATTGGATACTTGCTCACACTTGAATGTGACCAACTAACTTCAGTGTTTTTTCAATGGACTAATGTTTCGTTTTATTTCAAAGCACTTTTCTATTCTGAACTAATCATGCCCTTTGTTTAATATCCTTTTGTGCTGTACTGCTTTAAATAATGTAATTGAATGTATTGTATCAGAAAGTGCACGTAACCTTATTGTTAACTTTAGTTCTAATCATGGGACCTCCTTTGCCAGTACCAGAATATGAGAATAGGTTTTCCCCTTTTTTCTGGCAACAAAACAGATGTTAAAACACCAAACTGAAACCTTTTACAAGGAATCATGTCTGCATTAACCACAATACTTGTGGTCTTTGAAACTGATTGGTCCACACCAGAGACAACTTTCTCTGGTGTGGACCAATCAGTTTCAAAGACAATGCATATATTATTAGTGTTTTTTGTTTTGCATTCTGACCACAAGTATTGTGGTGAATGCAGACATGATTCCTTGTAAAAGGTTTCAGTTTGGTGTTTTAACATATTTAACACCTGTTTTGTTGCCAGAAAACAGTGGAAAACCTATTCTCATATTTAGTTATAATCATGGAGATTTTTTTACTCATGAAAGCCTCACTGAGTCTCAAGACACTTTTTTCTCTTCCCAAAAAGGTCCTTCATTGGGATGTTTAACCAGTATTATTCAACAATGAATGTTGCCACGTGGGAGGAAACTGGAATTCCCGGAGAAAAACCCACACGCATAAAGTGGTAACACTCAAAATCTCTGCACGGATTGATTCGCAGAATCCGTTTCTGTACTGACATCTCCTGGTCACCTCACATTTCCAAAACAAGATTCATCAATATTACAGCCGGTGGGTCTTGACAAAATGACTGTGTTCACGGAGAGACATGCCCCTAATACTCTTCCTTATGCTGTGTGCTCCTCCTTCACTCCGACCTCCCTTGCACCAATCCCAGCTCTACTCCCAGGTTAGTAGTCCTCATCGAAGCCTACCATCGCTTGTACGCATGTCATTCCACAATCATGATTTTTATTTTTTTCCCCCTCCCGCGTTGCCGTATTGTGCGTTCAGATTGACAGCAGAGTTATCGCCGTCCGTAACGACATGGTGCTGTTGTTTCTGTGATAATTCACACCTCGGTTTTTTGTTTAACTTTTAAGGTCACAGTCGTCCGTGGACTGCGTTAATCGTCGTGTTTTCCTCCTGTGTTCATATCTCACGTTGTGTGTCTTTACAACCGTTCAAATGTCAACCATCTAGCAACATTCCAGTTGCGTTTTACTTGTTTAATTGTGTTTTATTTCTTTATTTATTATCAGCGCCTTCACGCGATGGAATGCAGTTCATTGTATCGCATACTGTATAAAAGTGCAGCTGTCTTAAAATGCCAGCGAAAATGTTGCGGCGGCGATTTAATTTGCATGCAAATAGTTGCGCCGAGAAGCATTTAGCGTCTGCTTTGGCTGCTGGCTTTTATTTTCGGCTGGCCCTGTGGATGCTGCCAGCGATTCCCGTAGATCATAAATCGCGTCCGCGCCGGACAGGGCGCCGTACATCATACGGGCCGGATCAGAGATGGGGAGGGGGCCAACGGGCCCTATTCATCACGGCGCCCATTTCACAATCTGGCAGCACATCGGTCATTCGTCATGCGTAGAATGCTGCGGCAGTGACACTGGCCGTTTGAAATGAAAGCTCCGTAGTGGGATTTGAAAATCCCCAGATGTGCAATGAGAGCTTGTGGGGGGGGCCCCATGGGACAAGGTGTGCGCGATCGCGGCTCGGGGCAGCTCCGCCGGATGCTAAGTACACCCGTGGCACACCGCGGTTGTCAGTCGTCGTGAGGGCTTCCCATACCTCGCTTTGTCATTTTTTTTATCGGTGTTCCTCTGAGTGCGTGTGGCATGCGTTTGTGCATGTTTGTGGTTCACTTGCAGCGGCCATAAATCGCTAGCCTTGATTTGACTCTGGACGCCCCTCTGTACCCGATGCTCTTGTTGACTCAATCAAACGGGCCGAGTTCACACGTCGCACATGGAAATAGCATAAAATAAATGGATACATTATTTTAACCCGCACAAAAGCAAATATCCGAATACGTTGAATTGAATGCTGCGTACCCATGCGTAGTTCACAAACAAATCGCTCTTGATGCTCTCCACTGTGGCAGATCTCAGAAGATTAGCAGGGTTGAGACTGGATAGCGCTTGGATGAGTGACCACCATGCAAAAACAGATGCTGTAGGCTGCTTCGTACCTATGTGGGCACCAGAGGGCAGTGCAGAAATATTCATTCGTATCTTGTACTATGCTCCAATGTCTGTTCCCCAACTTCACCAGCCCCGCTAAGATCATAACGTGTTCAGGTATGGTCAAATGACTGCCACGACCCGCACGGCATTAGGAGGCCTTCATCCAGCAGTGGATTGTCAAAAACGGCTGTGCATGCCCATACACAGTCTCTGTAAATCAATAAAGCGAAGAAAACCTGCTGCGGCTTTTTACTCATTAGCGTCTGGGCTGGCGTACATTTGTGCCACGTAACGGGAAGCAATTTTGAAATGTTTTTGGAAACATCCATCTTCATTCCATCTTGTGTGCCAGGGTTTTTTTTCGTCCCAAGTCGCACATATAGGTGCTGCTGGATGCAAGACCGTTGTCATGGAGAGGAATTAGGCACGCAAACATTGCAAATAGCGGTCCCATATTTTTTTTCAGTCACCACTTGCGGCTGGAGAATAGATCTTGTCGGACGCCATGTACCCAAATTTAAATGAAGGGATCGACTTTGGGATGTTGTTTTGCCAGCTGCGCCTCTAGATATGGCAGGCACTGTAAATTATCTTCTGCAAAGAATCTGTTTGTTGAGTACTTTGTGACATTGATCTATACTGTAAAGTGAGCCGAGCACTTGGCGTTCGCATGCCTTGGCACACATTCACACACGTACGCGCGTAGCCGTTCCTCCGAGCTCCTGCAAGTGGCAATTGCTTCTCAGAATTAACAGCTGTGGTACTGCTTGGGCAAGTGTTGCTCACTTGTGGGCGAGGAGAGTGCCTCCTCCGCTCCATGATTAATGCACCTCATAGGTATCTGCTGCCCTCTGCAATTTTGTGTGTTTTCTTACGTTTTCGTACGCATTTAGTTGCTTATTTAAAAGTTGCAACTTTATTTAAACACGCAAACACATCACGCCTGCACTGAATTGCCATTTCCTCGCAGTACATGACAAAAGATTAATTGCAGCGTAAAATTAATTGGGCAAGGAAAGTAATTATTTTTCTAGAGCTTAGTGGTTTGCGATGCACATTTACCCAAGTCTCTGGAATGGCCATGGTAGATTAGCGTGATTGTGTGGGCAGCATGATAAATAGCAAACTGGAGGGGAAAGCGTTCTTTTTCCTCTTTTTTCCATCTAAAAAAATAAAACATGTTGCAATTCGAAAGAACTTATATGCACCTTTGGAACGCTCCCCAGCTCAATTTATAACAATAACCCTGGCAAGAAATGGCAGCAGGGGGTCTTTAAATAAATTTACAAATCGGTACAAATATGTTGTCTCTTGAAAATTCCAAACCCATCCTTTATTCCTCAGCAATTCATCTAGGGAGTGGGGTGGGGGTAGGCAGAGGCTTTTGTACTCTGCACATTTTCACAATTTTCTTTGAAGGCAGCTGCGGGTACGGTGAAGAGAGGCCAGCGAGAATGAAAAACAGAAAGCAGGAGAGGGCCCCTTTCGTTTTTCTCCCTCGATCGTACGTGGCCGGCGTCTGCGGACTGTCTTGCCGGGCAAAAAAATAATTCCGGCCACATCACTGACATCCTTCCCTCTGAACCAGAACAGGTGGCCGCCTAGGTTCTTGCGCGGGCACTGACCCTCATTTCTGACTATGCCAAGTGCCCAGATGGCAAGGGGAAGTCTGATAACCCCTTCGGAGAGGGCCCTTGCTGGTGGGGTGGTGGCCGTGAGTGATTGATGCCGTGGTACAATACTTGGGCACACACCCTGGGAGCACTTGTGCGAAGTTTTGGCCAGAGCTGGGCTTCACGTTGTATTGCTTGGGGCCGTTGTGTGCCTTTGCATATCACGTAGCTTTTCTGTTATAAATCACGTATGCTCCCCTAAATCTCTTAATGGTTTTTTTTCTCCCATATATTTATGTGCTTGTGTATCATGTGGACAATTATTCTATGAGTTTTAAGTGGTAGCTTCGTTTGCATTGACTGTGCTGCAGGTTTTTGGGACAAACGGCTAGATCTATGTGTACAATAAATGTATGCCCTGCTGTGTTCAAAAGCATTTACAGTCGCAATTAATTATGGTCAATGTGATCAAACAACCAAATTGTATTGTGTGTGTTTATTTAATGCGGTATATTAAGCGATAAATTCTACTCTTTGATTTTTTCCATTGTATTTATCATTCATTTTGATCCCGATCAACCTCAAATAATTGCTATAGAACACAAATGTTGTGTTTCCCAGTTGTGTCTCCAATAATTACGTCATTTTATTAAGCAGATTAATTATAAGTGATTTCTATGTTTTTATTGGAATAGATAATTTAGGTTTATCACTTGTTTTTTACTTGCCCATTCTGAAAATAAAGACATGATACCGACACGATGACCGAACCCAAAAGAAACTAATTTAGGAATCATAACATTGGTCGTGAAAGCCTACATGTAAAATAATTTCAAGTGTCTTTTGCTTTGCTCTTTTAGTTTTTGCCTAACTTTGCAACCTTCTTTGCTAAGTTTTTTTTGTAAATGTTTCTGTCATTCGTTATTAACAGTCATTTCAATGTCTGTGCTGTATGAGATGGTTAATATTTTATTTGTGTGCCTCTTTATGCATTCTTCGTTTTCCGAGGAACGCATTGTAATGTCACTATTCCAATGTCGGCGTTCTATTCCAAATGTCACTGCCTTGGTGACGGTGTATCTCCTTGCCTCACTCCACTCTCAATTTGTAGTGTGTTATTTTTGTTATGAAATATAACTCCACAAACAAGCATGTAGATGTGCACGAAAAGTGCACCAGGAATCGTGTGAGGAGATTTGTGCTGGAAATTAAACTCGACGGGAAGATCGCTTTGATCAGGGAGCAAGTGCAAATTAAAGACGTCGTGTTGAGTGAAATTGCAGACAAGACACATTTCCTGAATAGATTATAGCCGATGAATGAGACGGGTAATGGAATGGCAACCAAAGGAGAAAAACACCTGCAGGTACAACCATCACGGAGATAGAGCAATTCTATCGCCTCATGTTGTAGGTGCATGATGGATTGTGATATCGCTAGACCACGAAGGATGGAATAGGTGTGGTGAGGCCTTCATCCAGCACTGGATGGATCGGGGATGTCGATAATGATGATGGCGGCGCATCTGACAACATGTTCATATAACCTGTGCTTTATAGTCGTGAGTTGCATCGCTGCGGATCCAAAAAAAATACGCCGTGAAACGTCGCGACAAATTCACGGGTGCATAACGTGGGGGCCGCTCTTGTACCATGTGACCCAGGGGGCTGAAGGACCACACAAAGAAGATGGCCAGTCTGAAGCACAAGGAGCAGATGGAGAAGAAGAAGAGCGCCCAGCTTCTGGAGGAGGCTCGCAAGCGGGAAGACAACCTCTCCGACAGCTCGCATGTGCTTCAGGTATTTGCTCTGCACCGGGCTGTGCGAAGGAAGGGGTGAAAGCATCCAGACTCTGCCAACGTTCTGTGCACAGAGCTGCCTGTTGTTGTTCTGGAAGATGCACGTATGCACGTGGAACTTCTTTCGCACAGCACGTAGCAAACCACTCTATTCGTGGGACATATGAAGGTAACATTGTCATCAGACCATTTGCTATGTTGGCATGTGTGTGCACAGTGTCAGATGGCCAGCAACAAACAGCATTATCAGATCTTCTTGGTTCTTTCGGTAAAGTCACGTAGAAGGGAAATAATAAAATAATTAAAATAAAACGGCTTAAATATACGCTCCAAGCGTGGTGATGTTTCATTCAGACGCTGTCCCCCCGACAGACCTGGTCTTCACCTGAGGACGGCTGCTTGCGTTGTGGCCGAAACGTCGTGAGAATTATTTTATTATGTTTTATTATTATTATTTTATTATTTCCCTTCTACGTGACTTTACCGAAAGAACCAAGAAGATGAATCACTGCAGTCACGAAAGCTTTAAATCGAAAAAAAAAGCATTATCAGAGTTAGATCGAGTAAGTTTATGAAAGTGAGATGATGGGATTAAGTGAATTGCTTAATGATTAATACACAATTAATTATCACACTTTCAGGGTCGCAATTCGTTTTTTTTATTAAGCTCTTTTTCACATTGTGGCGAATGGTGGCACCTCCAGTGGCTGCAGTGGTCACCATGAACCGATTTCATACAATGAATACGAATCAAATGACATTCATTGGAACACGTTTGATGTAATGTACGGATTCTGACCTTCGGACTTAATGATGAAAATCGACACATCGTTCCACTCATAGAATAATATAATTGTTATTACATCAACTGCTGGATAAACCCAACGAATAACCCGAACTTAAGGAATGGGGGGGGGCGAGACGACATGGTCATCCGCCTTTTGTAGTCAAAACGTTCTATTTTTCTTAATATTTGCACTCCCAAATTTCTCAAAAAGTTAAAATCCATTCTTGGAAAGCAGTAAAGTGAATTACAACACAGAAGACCGTACTTGCTGCTTTCAAATATCACAGTCCGTCATCTGGCAACGGGTGAATACGTTAGAAAAAACCGTTGGGTCAGTGTTGTAAAGACTAAGCTGACCCCCTTTCTTTGCCTGTGTAGCGGTTTTATTTTGCGAGTGTCATGAAACACTTTGCTCGTGACTTTTCAATTGAAATATTTGCCCCAGAGTAAATCTCCGTGCCTTAAATACACTTGAGCTTTCTGGCCTGAAAAAAAAAAGCCTTGTGCTGAGTGACCGACACTGTTACACTGTAAATCTGGCTGTCAGCACTTGCTGCAGGTGAAGTGACGAAAGATAAACAAAGCGATTTGTGTGTGTTTAGCCACCTCTGGTATTAGACTGGCCATGATAAGGTGAGTGGCCTTCAAAAGGACAGGTGAAAACAATGGTCTTAATATCACCCCCTGCAACGCCTTTATTGTCGAACTTCTGATATAAGTGTCGCCAGCGTTCAGGTCGGTTGCCTCTGTGCGACAGTGAGCGGGCTCGCATTCGGAAGGTTTGCTAGTTCAAATCCTCGTTGGGGGTTAAAACGCAGTCCCAGGGAGAAGACAACAGTGGTTGTCCTTTGGATAGACCAGCCCCCGCAATAGAAACGTGTAATTTCCTGCCCCTGAATCGTCGCTTTGAATGGGAGATGAGAGCTTCTTTAATGTTCCTCTGAGCAGGAAATCGCAATTCACGTCTGTCTAAGGGAGGGCTGTTTGTTGAATAGGCTGGCAAAAAACGATGTTCTTCCGATTGGATATTGCAGGGCCTTGCGTCGCGTCCTTTGGGTTTTACAATTAACCACTGAGTATAAGCAAAGCAGCACATCCTTTATTCCCGCATGTCACATTATGCAAGTCTAAAATGTCATTAGAGCCATTGGTTGCCTTCATTATTCATTCGTGTTGATTTTGTGACATGAGAGAAATGTGACCCGTTGCAAAGAAAATGGATAAATTAAATAATAAAGTTAAAGCTAAGTCCATTAATTCATTATTCGTGCGCCAGAATATGTCTCTGGCTGTGGAGCAGTGTTTGCATACCAAGTTTCACTCATCCTCTCCCACTTAAATCGTCATTGAACCAGTGTTTATCATTACTCTGGTGGACTTCATAATTCCAGTCCGTTGATTAATTACTTACGTAAATGTTAATCTGGAGGTGACATAAATAAATCTTTAGAATTAATTTCCACTTTAAACAGCAGGGGGGCAGTCAGCAATGTGTAAGGAAAATCAAGCACGGTGTTATTGCAGTAAAGACTGACGGTTAATGAGGAGCTATTCTGGAAAGTTTGGAGACTGTTTGGTTTCACGCACTATCTAATGAACCCCGAGTTCGGATCTCGCCCCTGACTGCACCATCAACGGTAGGTGATATATTTACTAATGCAGAGACACCCCCCCCCTCCCCCATCACCAACCTGCACTCCTCAGCATCATGGTGTAAAATGGTCCCCAGGGGCAACACAGCATAGGGAGGCATTTTTTCAGCAGTGGTTTGACTCGGGGTAGTCGACTTAAAATGATTAACAAATCACAGACTGACTCATAATTAGTGTTTTGGGTTAGATCGTGTGGGTGGAATTTTGTTATGTAACAGGTTCATGCAATCTCTCCGACACAATGTTTATTTTGTTAGATTTAAGCTCTTGAGAATTTGAAGATGAATTTGACCATCGTGTGGCAAAACTCCAATCTCATAGCAGAGGAGTGTATGGGAGAGTGAAGAGGACATTTTAACATCATTTCTTCAGCAAATGTATTGTCCATTCTCTCTCGGACACATGAGATCGGACTGCTTTGCGAGATTTCCATGTGTGTTCATTGTTCCATCTCATGATGCTGATTGCAAACTGAGAGTGAACTTGTGGGGGGAAATATATATAGATTTATATTTACATGTAGACTTTTGAATTGCACCGCTATTCTTTATATGCAGCACCATGGAAATCTCGTAATTTTACAAAAAACTAACGAACATTAACAATAACATTGTATTGATAACACTGGTCAACACACTTTTTCTGGCATAAGGTATTCCAACGGTTTTAAGGTAATTTTGGTGTGCTGATTCCAAATATGGCATCAGTTTTTATCAGGTTTTTGAGATATCAAATATTGCATTTTCAATAAAAACTGCAGAAGAAAAATATGAAATAAATGTGGATATGTACATAAAATGATATTATAAACACTCTATCTTAAAAATACAGCACCATATTTTAACACTAAAGCAGTCACTGACTCGCAACAACTTGCAATCATAAGTGACAGAGTTCATTTCGGGTAAAATCAATGAAAATGGGGTATGCCGATAGCATAAAAATGAGATGTGATATAGCAAATCTGAGATCAGATTTGGAATCGGCACCCTGAAATTAGTCTAAAACAGCTGCAAAAGTCCAGGCCAGAAAAAAATGTTTTTTTTGTTGACCAGTGTAATCGAACTAGCAGCCACACATCCGCAATAAGCCATTCTATACATTCTCCGTTTTTAGGACTCTTATGCGCACACACAAGCAGCACGCTGTGTGCTCAATGCACTGAAGTGGAGTAGGAATCCTTCCGCTATAAAACCAGGATTAATGCAAGTCCAAATCCATATTCTCTTGCACGTTGAAGGCATTCACTGCTGATCATCAGCCGCATCGGAAGTACTCGGTGTGACTGCTCGGCTATAAAAACCAAGATTAATGTGGATACATTCCCATTGCAGAAGCCAGGGCATGGGTTCCCTTCTTTCCTCGCCTTATGGAGCTAGAAACTTTGAGATGTTGGCTGTGTATTACTGTGTATCAGTATATAATATCTGTTAATTGTTTATTTCGCTTTCTTATGCCAAGCCATGTGACCTACTCCAAAAGCTATAGTAGTCCATGTCAGAGCCGAGTAAAAATTCATATTAACCATGAAATACACACTATTTATTCACGGTGGATGTTACAAATCACCTGACTTCATTTAAAACTAGTAGGCCATTTTCTTGGTTCTTTCGGTAAAGTCACGTAGAAGGGAAATAATAAAATAATAAAATTTTTACATTATAAGATAAAAATTCTCACGACGTTTCGGCCACAACGCAAGCAGCCGTCCTCAGGTGAAGAACAGGGCTGTCGGAAAGACGGCGTTCTAATGAACACTGCTAAGCGTGGCAGCGTATTTTTAAGCTAGATCGGAGGAGGAGAGAGCCTTGACAAAGGAGTTTACATATCAACAGAGGAATTTAGCATATTGATGACAAATGCAGATATGAGATTAGTCCCTGCTTCTGGAATGTGTAGGTGGTGGGGGGTCTCAAAGTCATTGTGTGCCGGTGTCATAGTCCAAATTTTACAATTACCCGCAAATTGTTACATGGGCAATGAGACGCAGCAATCATCGCCCACTACTGGCAGACTTGTGCTCATTTGCAGGCAAAGTGCCGTGCCTCTCTGTGCCCACAGGGACAGCTGCCGCTGGGGGTGTGTGCCGCTTTTCAAACATCTTAGATGAGACATAAGTGTAAAGCGTTCTGAGACGCCCTGGCGCAAATGGCGCTGTATCAAAAACAAAAATAGTTCTCATCATTATCTCCATTTGTGCCGTCAACAAGAGTTCCCTCCGCCTGTTACGATATTTCTCCACCTCTCTTGTTGCGTATAATATTCCAGTGAAACCCATCGACAAAATGCTCATGGTGAATACAACATGAAATGCAAAGCATTGTATTTGGCACTTGTGGTATTTTTATGCAATTTGTGTGCATTATAACTACAAGGCAGACGACCGCTTGACTTGTTTCACGATACAGTATACTAAAGTTTGTAAACTTTGCTGCAAAAAAACTATTGTGAGGCTCACAGGGATTTACGCAAACAAATGACAGCACAGCGATACGATAATGGTCATGTGACCTTTTTTACATTAAATACATGGGTATGGCATGGCAATACATCGTGCAATTT